AAGGGAACAAGAGGGACAAAGGACAAACATAAATCTCCAAACACAGCTAGGTGACTGGTGAGCGACCGAAAAAATCCGCCTGGTCCGGGTATCGAACCCGGGACCTCTCCATTACAGGTGGAGCGCTCTACCAATTGAGCTAACCAGGGGTTAGATGGAGATTTGTGTTTGTCCTTTGTCCCTCTTGTTCCCCTTCTCCAGGGATTACTTTCATCATTCTTGTCCAGCTCGCTTGCACCTTTGCAATTAATTGCATTCTAATTACCACTCTGTTTGCCAGTTATGCAATGGTTGTAAGCAAATCAACGCGAAAGAAAAAGCACAGTGTTTTTCACTACATTTTGTTTTAGTATGACAGTGTTTACATTAATAAAAGGTTGTTAATGATTCGCACCCTTCAGCAACGGTGATGCCGCGGTGCGAAAATCGCGCTCTCTAGCTCCAGGATGATGGCTTCACAATAGAGGTGCTCGCCTACACCTTCCTGACGTGAAGAAATAAAGTAAGGCTCCAATACTGCTCGTGTATAGCAAAGCTGGAATTACTTCCGCGTCGCGGACCCAGCCTCTTACTGTTGTTCTACGACGATGATCCAGATGACCGCCATTTTGATAGGCGCCAGCGCGCCCCCTATAGGTCATGAAAGTTGCGAATACTTAAATTTACAGTAATGTTTTCTTCCGTTTCGTTTTCAGCAAAGGGATGGATTAGTCAATCACTCTGTCATGTTTACTTAAAATTAGTCTACTGCACTCTAAAAAATGCCCGTGCGTCTGCTTTCCCGCACAACACTCGGAGAGCCAATCACCGCAACTTACGAAGGCAGCTCAGCGAATGACGATGCCGAAACATATGTTTAGACCAAAGAAACGCAGTCTGAGTTGTGACATTAAGCAATGCGAGGGTGACGTTTTGCACTGCTTAATGTCACAACTCAGACTGCGTTTTTTGGTCTAAACTTATGTTTCGGCAGGGTCATTCGCTTAGCTGCCTCTGTACGTTGCGGTGATTGGCTCTCCGAGTGTTGTGCGTGAAAGTAGACGCACAGACTTTTTTAGAGTGATAACGACTCGCTACTTTATAGCTAGTGATATAAACCATATTATTTGGATTTAAACAAAAAAAAGTAAATAAAATAAATCGGACTTATTTAAATTTTTTTTTTTTTGTTTTGTCTTTATGGTCGCTGATTTGCCTCAAAATCGGCTCACCACACCGATAGACACGGCTCTACCAGTTCGCCAAGTATTATGTGAAAAGAAATACATTTCGCGAAGTTATTGAATTTTCGAATTTCGTTTTTATCGTGTTTCTCAAACCGGGAGCCCCTACTGGCAACATTGATGTGTGACGACGGAAATGGTACAAAGTGGGCAGTAAGCCATGCTCCCAACCGATCACAGGACGTTTGATGGTGGCAAAATAATGCTTGGTAGCTGATTCACTAAGCAAGCAAGCAAAAGACACTCGACATACTCTGTTTAAGACTACCTGCAGGACCTGAAGGTCTGTACCATTTGTGACGTCACGCCACTGGAGAACGCACGGAAATTTGAATGCTGGTTTCGGCATCATCTTCATTTACGGTTTTCTCAATTGTTGTTTTGAATTTCGAGAAAATAAATAACATACCGTGAATACCAAGGACCGGATAGCGAGAAGATGCAATTCGTTTGGGTAGCTCAAAAAACGGCCGAAGTAAAAAAAACAAAAACAAAAAGAAAAACATTCACGATTTTTTTTTTTTTTGCCTTGCCAGAAACTACATATTACTGACTAACTGACTGGCATTACTGACTAATATGGCAGGGATAGGACAAGAACCTTCGAAGCGTTTATTTTTTTTTTTTTTTTTAATACTGTTTGATGACAGAATCTGAAATATTCCTTCCGAGTTCTTGTCACATCATTTTCGCGGATAACGAGAACATGTTTCATCGGAGAAAAACAGGCCCTTTAAACATCCGTGGTCGTAAATCGCTGCGTTTAAGATCCTTCGGTCGGTGTCCTCCCTGCGGAGGTCAGACGCAAGAAAGACAGCCAACAGAGACCAAACGCAGCGAGACTAGACAAAGTTACTGGCGGAGGAAATAACAAGACCAGAGATGGCGTCCTCGAACGCACTCTCGCACAAATCACATATACTGGCATTCGCCACACGCGTATTTGTCTTTGCGGGGGATGTGCGTCAACCCGCGGGAATGCACGCTGAATTCCAGGTATTTCTCCCTCCCTTGCATACATACACACACGGGCACACCTAATCCGAGATATACGGTCCGGTTGGAAAAGTCGATTTAGCGCTGCGATCTTTTATGAAACGAATTTTGGCCGAATGATTTGCACAGTCAGGCCGCAAACTTGCGAGGTTGGTTCGGATATACCTTGGCCGTATTTCTTCCCCAATTTTCATTTCGTCGTCGGCAGAACCTTCATCGCATCTGTGGCGCGTGTTTGAGCTTTCGAAGGCGACTGTTACGCCCGCGAGTCACGTGAGATGGGGTGAAATATAACCGTTCCGGGCACATTGAACCTCGCGCACCGTCTGACTTCTTGCGCACTGCGGTGGCGTTGTCCGCCCGGCTCTGCGCAGCCGCGGTTGGAAAATTTTGCTTCGACACGACTGCTGGCCGTGCGATGCTGTACTTCTGATTCACGGGCTTTCTTTTTTTTCTTTTTTAAGTCCTTTAGACCGCAGGTCCCTGTGAAATTGCTGAATCGCATCATGTCTTCCGTCTCAAGTTCCTTTGAAGGGCATTTGTATGGATTTTGAGTTCGCATTTTTATGGCGCAAACTCATTCTGCGCCTCGTAAGCGTTCCAGAAAACCGAAAATCATAATCATACGCGGTTTTTTTTCCTATTAAAAGCGCGTCCAAACATCGCGTTATGTTTTCGTTTTTTTTTTTTAATATATGTAAAACAAAAGGCGCCGGTCGGGATGTCTCGCTGCGTTTTTAATAAGTAAGAGGATCACTAAAGATTGTTATTTTCGGTTTTATACAATGCTTAGGGCGCATAGACCGAGTTCGAGCAAGAAAATGAGAATTTAGAAATTTTCTTCGTAAATATAAAATTCGTCCACTGCTGTCGCAGTTTTGAAATGCCCACATTGAAATTTTCTTATAATTTTTTTTTATTGTTACGTGAATGCATGCGATTTTATTTCAAACAGGACTACTACTCCTGGGCGCGTAGATCAAGGCGTCTGATTGATATCTGCAACGGTATTTCTGAGATGTCACAGAGCGGTCACAGTTGTTACAAAGACTCTCTTCTTCGTCACATCCTTTTTTTTTATCTTTTATTTACTTTTAGAGGCGAGGATGATGAGTTTCCGTACTTTTATATTAATAAGAATAATAACAATAATAATAATAATGAAAGCGCACAACAGGGCTCGTTTAGGAATGTTCAGGCGATCGAAAGAAGTAAGCTGCCGAGAAGCTTATGAGACCCGTGAACATATGCGCCAAAGCGAAATAAAACTGGCAAAAGAGCGGCCCGAATTTTATATGTGCCAAAATGTTTCCTAATGCATGCGTTAAATAAAAAAAAAAGTAGGAACGGCATGGGTTTAGATAATAGAGGGTTTTAGTAGATGGTTCCGATGACTTCGGTAACAATACCCGATACTCCACCGACGCCTTTGCTCATGCATCGTATGGTTATCGGGGGTATCGGAGGTACCAAAACGACCCGCTAAAACTACCGTATGTAAACAACATCGTCGCGATACGTAATGATGGAAACTATAGCCGACTCGTTTTCAGAATTCCGTCCAGTGCAATGCTCGGGGACGACTTTTCACCGGGGGCAACAATGCCGATCGTATGCCGATCGTCGGAAAACGGTTCGCCGCATTCGCACCCCGACCAAGCGATAAGACGCAGGCCAGCCGCACCGAATAGGTGCGAAATATAGGGAGCAAAAACGTGACGTTTGGGACTTTTACCTTTTTCTATTGTGTTCCTCAGTCTTACGATTTTGTAATTACGAAGAGCCACCAGCTGGCTCGTTTTCTAAGTGTCATTCAGCTCCCTTCATTTTTCTTAAGATTCCCGTGACGTACAGCCTCCAGATGTTTTGAACAATATCGCGCGAACAGCAACCGGCCGGTAGATCAGCGCCTTATCGCGGCGTGAAGCAGCAAGTCAGCGAGACTATATAGGCGTGTGCCTTTTGCCATAAGCGCTTGGTCTCGCCAACCTGCTCTTTCACACCGCGATAAGGCGCTGATCTACCAGGCGGTCGGCGTTCGCGCGATATTGTTCAAAAACAAAACCTAGAGGTTGTCCTAGCCTAATAGTGGAACTCGGCATTCGGCGTTTGGTGCTGTGAAAAACTGCCGAAACGTCCGCCATCAGTCGGCCCGGGCTGCAGTAAAAGCTAGCAGCCTCCCCGAACGACAGAGGGGAGCTCCAGAGGGAGGGACCTGCAGGGGGCTGTCGCCTCTAAGCTAACATGGCTCTTGTGCCCCTGGCGCTTTCTTTTTTTTTGCTGTTTTTGTTTTTATGCAGCGGTCCTAAGACCGACTGGGACCGCGATAAGAGAATCTTCGGCGTCCCGGGGAAAGTTTTCGGAATGCGCGTGGTGCCACAAAAGAAAGCGAACTTGATTCGAACCCAAAGAAATACAAAGATCTGAAAACCAACTTTTAAGCGAACTTTTTTTTTTATTATCTCAAATCGCATGAATTTATTTTTTGTTCCTCATTTCGAACAGTATATCAATATATTTTTTTCCGATCGAAACTGAAAGCAGAGAGGGGAGGAAACCCAAATAATACAAGCACTGCAACATTGCGAATCGTAGCCTAGCAGGCAGCGAGCACCTTCTCAGCGCTCTCCAGTGGGTGGGAACCCTTCGCGAGGCAAGAGGCCGCGCGACCGCAGCACAGTTAACACTCCAGTGGAGAACTCTGCGTGCCGCTCAAGCGACGTCCGACAACGCGCCGCCGCAACGAGCGGTGGGACAAGAGAGCAGCGGGGTGAAGCTCACCTTCCTGGGCGGCAGAGCCTCGTGCAGGCTACTCGTGCTCGAAGAGCGCGAAGACAGTTGCTCGGCTCCTCCACTGCCGAAGCTCACGCTGCTGTTGAGGCTCAGCGCGTCGTTGGCCTGGGTCTTGATGCAGCGGAACGGAGACAGGGTTGACGTGGACGTGTGCACGTGCTTCAGCATGGCGAGCACCGCAGTCCGGGCGCGGTTATACTCCAAACGGGGCACGGGCCCCCACGGCACGCAGAGCGCAGCGGTACGCCGAACACCCTCCCGCGAGCAAGTTTGTCCAAAACTGGAGTCGACGCGCTTCGTACGCGGCCGACGGCCGGAGGGCTGGAGCGTCGCGCAGCGACGTCACTCCCTTCCCGAGCTACGATTGGATAGGTGCCCGGCGCGTGCCGCGTGACGTAGAAACTTGGCGCTCGACGGCTCGCTCGACGCCTCGCCGCCTGTGGGCGCCTTCTCTCTCACCCGAGATTTTCGCAGCGTTGTCATCGCGGCATTAGATGAGTCGACAAGGAAAATCCGTAGTCGCTCTCATCATCCGTGTCTTCTTAGTGGATTCTAAGAATAAAGCGAGAACAAGCAATCGATGCTGTGTCTCTGGGGACGCTCGAATCTCGTTCTCGGTAAGAAAGAGCACAGTCTTGCATCGCAAATTGCACCCAGTTCTTCGGTATCAGGCGCGTCGCTTTATTCTGCATTCGGTACGTGCCTCAGAAGTGAAAGATTTGGAGCCGATGTAGCGCTGGCCTAGTTACATCTTCTAGTGTTATCAAAATCGCTCCAAGATTGTTTTCTTCCGCCGGATAGGGCGTCTCAGTCACTTGGACATAAGGAAATTTTAACGAAACTACGAACGGCTTGGGGACTTTCCTAGCATATAAATGTTAGGAGTTTCATATTTGCGCGAATGAGGCGAAACGCTGGGCTTGGGAATGCCATTACACAATTCGCTGTTTTTTTTTTTGTTTTTGTTTTTTTTTAATTCTTGATTTAGGCTTTTGAAGTGCGCCATACTTTTTGTGACTACAAAAAGCAGTTTAATCTTTGGGTAAATAGTATTTTATCTGCTCTATTACTTCGTAAATCAAAACCTCGTGAAAAAAGCTATGCCCCTTTTCCGTCTTTCTCTCTACAAAGCTCCCAGCTGAATTGTTTTCCGTTAGCTTCGTGCACACGATGCCACTGTTGCCATATTGCCATTAGATTGCAACACCAAAACTGCAAAGTAAAAAAAAAAAAAAATCTTAGACGACGTAGGATTGTGGAGTTTGAACTCGAGCACGATTTGTAAGTTAGCTATTGCTAATTGCCTTTCCTTTTCTTTCTTTTTTATTTTACGTAAGAGCGCAAGGCGCTGTATGGTCTTGTTCTTGTAGAAGAGACGGCAAGCTTGCGGAATGCAAAACAGATAACTGGCCGATGCACGATCAGTGTATAACTCGGTTCCTCACCAGCTGAGAAGCCCAAGACCGATGAACAAATTTGTCCCTCGGTCTCTGGTTTCCAAGATGTTGAAAGATATGAATGATTTAGGAATACTCCCCGGAGGTGGACAATAGAGGCACAAGAATAAAAATTGACTTCCACCTGAGATGGAACGCAACAAAGCGTCGTCCAGGGCCTAGGCGACTGGTGCACCGCTCAGAACCGTCACCAGGGGGGGGGGGGGGGGGGGGGGGGGGGGGTTGGCTTTGCGGATGTCAAGCGAAAGGCTCTCTTTTTTCTTTCTTGCGTTTTACAAACACGTCGGTTCGAGCTATGTGACATGCACACGATGGCCCACCGGTTTCAGTCCATAGCCTCCAGATTTGACACAGGTGTAGTTTTCACATGCAAATCGAGTCTGGGAGACCTGCGCAAGTCCGGGTGCAAAAAGGGGCTCCCTCCCGCTGCCCCGCTGCACCAAGAAACATGGTAACAGGCTCACATGCAAGACTGAGCAGAACTTTCCCTGCCCATGTCCTGCGGCGCTAACTACATGGGCCAAACGGGTCGCGGCGTAAACGATCGCCTCCGGGAGCATCAGAAAGGTGTAGAAAACGCCGCACCCAACACTCAGCCCCCGATTGACACGGACGGGCATATCGCGGCTGCAATTCCGACTTTGCCGCCTCGACGACGTTCGTAAATCTTCGCGACCGTGTCTGGAGGAAGATTATAGGCTACGTTTACATGGATGCGACAGCAGCGCATCGGATCCAGCTAGCGAATCGGATCCACTTCAACCACTACGTTTACATGGATTCGGATCGACCTGTAGCGGCACCTCGTGTCGAAGGATCACAACGCAAACCTCGTGACCTTCAAATTGTTTCCGAGGCGTCCGGTTTGCCTAGCGGCATGCCAAGCAAAGCTTCCGTAATCCCTCGCCCGAGCACTCGATCCGATCCGCTAGCGTATACATGGAGAGTCTCGATTCAGATTGACTATCTCAAACCCAGCGGATCGGATCGGATCCGATCCGATCCGATCCGAGTTGTTTACATGGACCGATTCGATTCGTTAACTGGATCCGATGCGCTGCAGTCGCATCCATGTAAACGTAGCCATAGAAGCCTTTCGAATAGTGACGAGCCCGCAGATCGTGGGCTCATCGTCTCTCTTGCTCAGTAGTACCTCGGGGCCCCGGAGGCTCAACTAATGCCCTTTTATCCCCCCCCCCCCCCTCTTTCTTCCAATGCTTGGAAGTCGTGGCATCAACAAGTACCCCCCCCCCCCCCCCCCCCCGGAAAAAAATTCCTGTCTACGGGCCTGGCTCCGCTGAACAAAATCCGCATAAAATCGATTCCCGGAATCGGCTGGTCTGGAGAGGGGAGCCCCATCTCAGTTGGGAGTTCTTGTGAAGACTAAAGATGTTGAACGTTGTTATCGGTATTTCTGTCTCTCTCTTTCTTTTCTGCCGATTTGTGCGCCTGGTCACGTAAGCATATATACGGTATATATATATATATATATATATATATATATATATATATATATATATATATATATATATATAAATCAGGGAAACATCGAATATATATATATATATATTCGATGTTTCCATCATTTAAATGGAAAATAAAAGCGCGCCAAAATTATCAAATGATGGACTAAAGGTAAATAAAATTTGTTTCGAGATTACTTTTGGGGGAAAGGTTTGATATAAATCATCAAAGAAAAACCAGTGGGATATAAATCAGAATTTAAATTATTTTGAATTGCCTTGTCTACCCTGCCGACGAATGTTGGTGCAGCCGAGAGGCGACCAGGCGCAAGGAGCTTTACTCCACATGCCTGCCATTCAACGTCGGGAGAGATGCTAGCGTGTAGGTGAGGGAGATAGTGTTCTTGCAGGTGTGCGAGCTCGTCGATTTGCATAGCATGTCTGGTGTTCCCGAAAAAAGAAAAAAAAAGTTGACGACGAAGATTTTTGACGAACAATTTATTTCGTGGGTTTAGAAAGTAGCTTTACTTGCTATATATAGTTCAGACTGTGAATCTTGGTGTCTCCACGAGGAGTCCCCTTCCACAGAGTCCTGAAGCACAGCCTGCTCCATTCGGCGCCAGTGTGTAAATGGGTGCGCGAAGAAACGGGACTTTCAAGTTCATTACCCTCAAGGGCATTCTCGTGGAATGCATTACATGAGGGTGAAACAAGAATTACTAGCGGCAATAACAACATACTAAATATATTAAACATTAACTTCACGTACACATAAACAATACATAAACATACGAAGGAAAACCATGCACGGGGATCGGTAGCATTGGTAATTGACACTAATATAACGAGGCAAATATAGTGTTCGCTAATCAAGTCAGTAGAATTAAACATATCTCGCGAAACACAGAAGGATCTTGCTCTTTTATAATATCGTCAGTGAGGGAGTTCCAGTTTGTAATAAAAAGCGCAAGTGGTGAAAATTTGAATCTATTAGTGCGACCGAATATTCGCTCAATTTTCAGAGAATGATCATGACGTATGGATTGTGTACAAAGCACGATAATCGTAGGACACAAGCGAAGCCGCTTCCCTGACTGATAGCAAAGTAAACTTGCGGTCAGAAAATTAACGCCTGCCTTCAATACGTGTACGAAAGAGTCAGGCGAAAAGGACGGACAGGACAAACATCTTTCGTGTCCGTCCTCTTCGTCTGACTCTTGCGTATATTTTTGAATTTATTACCAACGCGCTCAATACAAGTTTACAAACGTGAGCTCCGGGATTTCAGTGTCCCTGCCAAGCACGCGCACTCGTGCAGGGCAGGCACTCTTTCAGACCTCAAGCTCGCGCTTGTAGCATCGTCTGCATCTGGCTTTAAGCTGAAACAAAGAAACACGAATTTATGTAAGCAGAGCTCTACGAGATGATCATCATATGTTTGATTCAACGGTGGAGGACGGTTTCAAACGGTTTCAAACGGTTTCAAACGGTTTCAAACGGCCGTGCAAAACTGAAAACAACTCCATATAAAATAAGTTAGCTTTTTTTTCCGACGTGGAAGTATTTTGCTTGCAGTTTGGTAATCTTGAGGAAATTTTCGAAACTTACGCTTGTTTTCAGTCCAGAAACACTTTTGTGCAAGAAAAAAAAAAAAGCGTGAAGTTGCAGGAAGTGTTATCACGTCCATATAACTTTCCCAATGTTAATTATGATTATGCTCGTGCGGGGTCGCGCACTCATATCAAGCGCCATGTGATACGAATAGAATAGGACACCTAAAGGGCCGTTGAAAATGACCCAGGGTCTTGAAATGCCGATTCCCTCCTCCCTTCCTTCTCAGAGATCAAAGAAACCACCCCAACAACAGACAACGAGACGTCTCAATAAAATTAAATAGATCAGGTGTCGCGTACCCTCGATGAGCTCTGGCCGCGGCCTCTCTTTTCCGCGCCGATTGCGTAGCATTGCAAGGCCGAGTCGCATATCGGCGGGTCGCGGGACGCGGCGTATCGGGTTCCATCTAACGCACGTGCACATTGACGATGTCGCCTTCGTCCCTCCCGTTGCTTTCCCAGGAGAACAGCGCGCCGCCCGTCGCGGTTCTGGGCAACAGCACGTATACACATAGCCGCTCTATACGCGTATCTCAATACAATAAAGAAAAAAAAATTCCTTGTTTTTTTAGCGAGTAGTAGCCGGCATTAACCCATTTAAATGAAAACAACTTATCCATGTTGCTATTGCTCTACTTCAGTGGGTGCAATGCGGGCGAAGGTGCGTTGCCGGCCTGACAGCAAGAAAACTATCGAACGAACACATCCTGTTTGAAACGTCGCTGATTTCGAAGTCAATCGCTTCGGAGTGGATATGTCCCTAGCTCCGTTGCTCTGAATTCACCGGCGAGCTGAAAAAACCCAT